TGACAGAAATCATGTCTTCGTCATTCCTGTGTCACAGGCTCATGGGGCTTGGCATTATGCAAGAACTCAATACTTATTTTTTGAATGAATAGTGTGTTCATAAATATTTTCTGAGTAAACAAATGTGTAAAAGAATGAATTCCAATAATGGAATTATTCTCTCTCTATCTTTTAACTCAATTAAAATTTTAAAAATTTTTATTGTAAAGTGTGGGGTGCAAGTGAGGATTTACTACATAAGGAAGTTGCATGCAGGTGAAATGTGAGCTTCTAGTGAAACCTCTCGCTCCCTGATAGTGTACCCGGTAGAGTACAGACATTTAATCAGAGCACTTCAATTTATTTTAAATTTGTAAAAGCCAAGAATTACAATACAGAAATTTTACTTTGGAAGATCATGAAAAAAATGTGTCCTAACCCCATTATTTGCTTTTCAAAATAACCCATTTCCTCTGGAAAGTTCTGACACAAAATAAATTTTCAGACAGAACAGACCCAACTTTTTACTCCTTTACAACAGGAAACAACTGATGAAATCATTTATCTGGAACCATCATCATAATTAAGAAAAACAGGCTTGTTTTATTTTCTAAAAATACAGTGTTCCTTTAACATTTAGCTTCAAAAAGTCCATACTTGCCTGTCTGTCGTGCTGTCTACTCTGTCATGTTCAGCGTGATTAACTAAGATTGGTAGAAAATATGATAAATTTTTTTTTTTTGAGTTGGAGTCTCACTCTGTCGCCCAGACTGGAGGGCAGTGGCCGCTCCTGGCCACCGCGACAAATTTTTTTTAAAGAGCGACTTCACACATGCCCATTAATATAACTCAGCTATGCCCACATGCCCATGATTTATTGGACTGCTGAACTGTACTAAAAGTGATAGAATCTTATTCTCTTAACTCAAAATGGGTGAAACAACATGTTGGGATGAGAGGATAAGATGTATTTTAAATAAATCAGTCTCAAAGGCAAAGAACTACCTTGACTGAAAATATATGTTTCAGTTTTCAGTCTTCAGCTTCCGTTGTAATATCTATTTCCATTTATCATAGTCTGATTTTGTATCAAAATTAATTTGGCATCTCCACATTCTACCAAGTAGAAGTACATACCCAAAGTATGCAAAAAGGAAAGTACACATGTAGGAAGCTCATGTGTCAAGTTTAAAGTTTGTTCCTGAGTACACAGAGTGATGATCTGCACATTAAATGCAGTACAGTGGTTGTGAACCTCCCTCTATGCCAGGCACCATGGCAGGAACTGCAGAAGCACGCACTGGCAGGCATGAAGCTCACCGTCTTCTACCTTAGACGCTGACAGTCGTGAGCGGTGAATGTCACAGAAGGGAGGCTCAGGGAGCAGTGGGGAAGCTAGTCGGATTTCGAGAGTCAGAGAAGGACTTCTGACGGACAAAGAGAGCAGAGAGAACAAGGGTGGAGCGGAGTATTTGAGAAGCCACGAGACTGCCCAGAATGTATTGTAGCAAGTCTGCTTCAAACCAGGGATGAAAGCCTTGCAGTGCTAGCATGAGAAGATGGCATGGTGGACTTTACAGGTCTACTATAGCAGTAGCTGTGTGATCCTCCAAGGTAACGATGATCACAAAGATAGCCTGAGTCACATTTAGATTGTTCACAATCTGCCGGCCTGGACTGAGAGCAGCAGGAGTAGTGAGATGACCCAGGCTCCAGGCCCTCACCGGCCACAGTCAGTGGGAAGCAAGTTAAGCTCCTGGACATCTCTAGGGGTCCAGTTTCCACCTGTGTATAATGGTGGGATAGGATCACATGAACTCTAAGTCAGGGTTTACTGAGACCAGGTTTGCCTCATCTTATGTACTGGTTGCAGTTGACTAGAAACATCTGCTACTGGCCCCATTCTAGTATCTGTTCTCAGCAATGTCTGCCCTGGAACCACTGCGGTCTCAATGGTGTGCTACACACTTGCTAGTCCTGCACGACCCACCTTCCTTCCCAGTGACAATATTCTGTGCTCCTGTGAGAAAGCAGACATGAGTAGAGCTATCCCATGAAAAGTTGTGTGACCAGCCTGTTTCCTTTGCATGTTTTGTTGTTGATGGGAGAAACGGAAGTACTATACCTAAAAGACAGAAGGCCAGCCGGGCTCGGTGGCTCAGCTTGTAATCCCGCGCCTTTGGGAGGCCGAGGTGAATGGATCGCCTGAGCCCACAGGTTTGAGACCTGCCTGGGCAACTTGGTGAAGACCTCATCCCTACAATAAATCAAAAAACTAGCCGGGTGTGGTAGCACATGCCTGTAGTTCCGGCTACTCGCAAAGCTGAGGCGAAAGGATCGCCGGAGCCCAGCAGGTCGAGGCTGCGGTGGCCGGGAGCGGCCACTGTACTCCAGTCTGGGCGACAGAGTGAGACTCCAACTCAAAAAAAAAAAAAAAAAAAAAGACAGAAGGCCAGGAAGAAGAGGCCAGGGAACCCAGGACACAGATGGTACCAGAATGGCTAACTGGGCTTAAATCACTTCGCACAACCGTTTTTCAGATTTTGTGCTTTGAATTTTTCTCCCAACACACATCATTTGGAGATGGAATCTGTTTTTCATTATGTGCCTAATTTGTCAAACCTGTGACTCTTGGCTAGCTTTCAACCTTCTTATAAACAGCTTGTGTAGGCAAGTGAGAAACATCCGCGTGGCCCCTGCCTGACCCTGTGTGAGCAAGCATGGACTCCCCTGGCCTTCATCTGCCTCCAAAGACACAGAGGCCCAGTGCCACCCATGGAGAGGGAAGTCACAGGCACGCGTTCTTTACTTGTTCTCGAATCTTGTACTCAGAAGGCCATACCAGCTTGAAATAGCTAAGCAGTCCTAATTTAAATGGGACTCTATTAAATTCAGAGAAGAAAATAACTACACGCACGCACACGCACACACGCGTACACGCGCACACACACACACAATCCTGAGTTGTGAACTGCCCACTCTTATCTTTCATTGTTGAATTCCACAATCTCAACATCTCAACTGCCACAATAAGAGAAGTCCAAGCCTCGTCCATCTAATTTTCCTGTCCTTCAATTTGTCAAGTTCTCTTTCTTCACCCCAAGACATATAAATATGTATATATAAATATAGGAATAAGTATAGAACCAGGAAAAGATCCAAGGATAGATATGGATATAGGCCAAGGTCTAGGGTACAGATCAAGGTGTAGATGTCATATAGATACAGATGATAGAGATATGCGGTTCCCCAAGTTAAAGCTTCTTACCTCAAATCTCCACCAACTAACTTACCAATAATGTTAAAATAATAGACTCCAAAACACTCCACTAATTTCACCAAAACTTAGCCTTCTGAAGGTTCTGGCGGGAAGGGGAAATGTGACCTTTCATGCTTCAGAATTTCTGTAGAAACTAGCCTTTTCACTGGGCTTTGCTACACATCCACAAGCAGGCACCTTGCTGAGATAGGGACCTTTATCTACAAGGGGGCTGTAAAATCTACGAACCATTATCCACGGAACCTTTTCTGAGTTTATCTTCTTTCCCTCTCTAGAATATGAATAATAATTTGCATTTAAGTAGCACTTGAAGTTGTACAGATCATTGAAAGATGTACTATGCTGCTTGGTCCTTAAGCCAGCCCCTCACTTTGGAAGTGAGAGGAGTAAGTCTCTGTGGGAAGTGCAGCTGTGCTTCTAAACCCTAAGCTGGCTACAGGCCCAAAACAAGTCACTGTTTTCCTGCTTTGGCTGTTTCTAATTAAAACAGCTCTTGCCTAGAGATGCACTTTAGAGAAACCCTCTCTAGCCCCATTACTAGTCCTATGAGCACTCTAGCCCCATCACTGGTCCCATGATCAGAGGATGCTGGTCACCGCAGGGTAGCGGGGGCGGGGGGTGACAACACACGGGTATCTGGTCCACTATCAGGGGAAAGAAAGCCAGCTAGAAGCCCAAACTTTACCTGCAGGCAACCTACTTATGTAGTAAATCCTCACTTGTACCCACGACTCTAAAATAAAATAAAAAGAAACCTTCTCTACTTTGACAGCGTCTTCAGTGACTTTTGCCTCTTAGTTTTTAAAATTATCCCTCTCCCCCTGTCCCCCGGCCTTTCCTTTCATCACATCAATCTACTGAAATTGCTGGTGACAAACCTGGCTGAGTCCATTACTTTCCTTAAAGTCAGCAAACCTGGGTGCCCCTCACATACCTTTAAGCCTGGATGTAGAGATAACTAGATAACTCATTTAACAACTGAGAAGTTACAATGGGCTAAACAGTTCAATGCAGAATCAGCAGCCTCGGTGGTAGTTATGATCTGTGATCAGTAACTCTGAGATGTTTGAAAATGGAGGTCATTAGTCCTCTCCCATCTATTCAGGCATAGAGCAAAGAATCACAGAGCAAGAGAAGACCTAGCAGAAAAATGCCTGTGAGACTTCTTATCTAGAAGAAATCTATTTCTTATCTAAAGCTCTGAAACTGTCATGATTCCCAGGCTATCCCCAATCATAGCCAGAGACAGCCACGGGAGCTGCTAAGTCAATCAAGTACAAGTATAGGTGTAGGTCTAGGTGAACAAGGCACATTAAAGACAATGCAAGGTTGCAGGGTTCCTGAAAGGTGATGTTCATTCTCTGCTCCAACCCACCATTTCGTGATGGGGGTCGCATGGTCAAGTTATGCTGAAATAGCATAATCCTCAAGGCTCAATGATACAAATTAATTTTTGTGCAATACCAATAACCAACATTTTTAGAAAACGTACTTCTAATTCGCCACACTTCAACTTTCTTATTCTGATTGGTTAAAATATCTGGGAACAATATTATATACTCCAAGGACATACTCTCCTTTTTTTTGATTGTGGCAAAATATACATAATGTACCATTTTGGCTATTTTTAGTGTACAGTTTTGTGGCATTAAATACATACACACTGTTCTGCACTCTTGCTGGTTTAAAGTACTCCTGCCCCACCTTCTTTTTTCTTTTTAATGAGAGATATTTGACTCACCGCTCACTTCCCATTGATGATACTCCTTGTTTTTGAGGATGGGGTGTGAAATCCACATCCAGGGATGGTGCTTGCGGAGCTGAGGCAGTAGGTAATGTGTTACAAACCCCACGGTGCCAGCCAAGGCAAACAGCACGATGCTGAGGAACGGCTGCAATGAAAACAGACAGGATCTCATTATTTAGCCTACTGGATGGGGAGGATGTCCATGAATTATACATAACACCACTGTCTTTCCCCCTTATCCCCTTAAATAATAGAAAGCTAGATTCAGTTCTTATTTTAGGCCTCTGGAAATGTCTTCCATATACCATAAAACTGGTTCATGTGTTGAGAACCACTATGGTGGGCATGAAGAGTTAGCCTATGGAAGAACAGAGGCCGAGAGAATTCTCCCCAACAGAATACACCTCTTTATCTTTTCTTCTTTTTGTGTCATGGTCTCACTCTGTTACCCAGGTTGGAGTGCAGTGGCATTACCATGGCTCACCACAGCCTCCTGAGCTCAGGCAATCCTCCTGCCTGTCTCCCAAAGAGCTGGGACTACAGACATTCCCTCACTACACCCAGCTAATATTTTGCTTTCTTGTGGAGACAAGGTCTCGCTATATTGCCCAGGCTAGCCTCAAACTCCTAGGCTCAAGCAATCCTCTCGCCTCAGTCTCCCAAAGTGTCAGGATTCTAGGCATGTGCCAACATGGCTGGCATGGAACACATCTTTGAAATGTTCTTATGAGGAGAGGTGGAAGATAACAATGTAGCCATGGAGTTTTCATCATGGAAAGGAGAGTTCATCAATGTACACTATTCTTTTTTTTTTTTTGAGTTGGAGTCTCACTCTGTCGCCCAGACTGGAGTGCAGTGGCCGCTCCCGGCCACCGCAGCCTCGACCTGCTGGGCTCTGGCGATCCTTCCGCCTCAGCCTTCCCAGGAGCCGGAATTACAGGCGTGTGCTACCACGCCCGGCTGATTTTTTGATTTATGGTAGAGATGAGGTCTCGCTGCCCAGGAGGGTCTCGAACCCGCGGGCTCAGGCCATCCACTCACCTCAGCCTCCCAAAGGCGCGGGATGACAGGCTGAGCCACCGAGCCCGGCTTACACTATTCTTGTATTGCAACGGCATCTGTCTATAAGAACCATCAGCCAGAAATCCCATCTGGAGGTCTCCACTTTTGTTTTTCTAACTGAAAATTGTGTTCCAATAATCCTTTTGGCTCTGCGACCCCCATCTCACCCCTGACACGGTAACTCCTCTCTTCTCTACCCATGGCAGCGTGCCATTAGCCCATCTTGCCACTACTGCCTGTCCTTGCGATGGATTCCGCAAGATGTGCTGTTGCTCCCGCAAAAAACCTCCCCCGAGATAGGGGAAATGGGAAGGACAAAACAAGCGAGCCAGATCTGTGATGTGGACCAAATCGCTTCCTGGATGTAACTCTCCACAGTAAGTGGGTACGGTCCTGACACCTCTCAGCTGGCCTTTTGTGATCCCCCTCTGGCTCAGCTGTATGATAGCTTTGTCATGAAGGAGGAGGAGGAGGCAGGAAGAGCACGGAGTGGAGTGGATACGTACTCGCAACGACAGGAACACAGTGCTGGCGCTGACTGCAAATGAGAGGACAGCGAATACTGCGCAGATGATGAGATCCGATTTTAAGACATCCTTCTAGAGAGAGAAAACCGACGGTGAGGGTTGCTCCTCTTTGTTTCTCTCAGCAGCTCTGTGTCACCAGGCAAATCAGGTGGCAGGACGTTGACTTTGGATAGACTGCTCTTCCAGCCCATCACTTCCCTGACCTATTCCCAAGGGAACACACTGGATGGACTGCTCACTGGTTGCTTAGGGAATTTCCAGGAGATGAAGGTGGGGGTGGGAAGACCATGGAAAACAAGAAAGGGTTTCTACACGTGTAGGAGGCATGAGATTCTTTTCCACAAACTCAGATTGGATTCAAGATGTCCAGAGAACTCGCCAAAAGCACTTTAACTTATTAAGGTTTGAAAATGTCAGCAATGTGCTAGTGATCTCAAACTGGCTTTAGGGTGGCTTGGACTGTAACATGCCAACACCCTGGGTAAACCAAACAGAAGCCTGTTACACATTTCTTAGTGTTTTTGGACGACCGGGTGTTACATTGTTACTCACCAGTCAGACCAAGCAAAGGCCACTTCCAAATTTTTAAATATATTTGCGTTAGGTACACATATTATACGTAGATAATGAAATGTCCAGGAACTTGCTAATAATTTTCCACCACACAAAACTGTGGTGTTTTTATGTGCTAGGGAAAAACAAAGCAAAGTTAGACCCAAGAATGCTATTAATGAAAATATATAGAGGATGGTCTGTTGGTTCCAACGAGTCACTAGATCGCTGGCTAGCTGATCCAAAGGGGACACAAGGGACCATCAATTCTTTTATTTTTATAGAGGGCGGTTGGTTATTTATCATTTTAAGGTTTCACACTGCTACTTCAAAATTATTTATCATTTTAAGGTTTCACACTGCTACTTCAAAATTCTGAAACCACCAATACATTTATACCCCCCTAGCTCATACTGAAAAGGAATTACACCGCTGAAATCATTGCCCTGAATGTCATCTGCCAGAAAACTATACAAAAGATATCACTTAGTTTCCCTCTACCCATTCCCCCACCATTTTTCTTTTCTTTTCTTTTTAAAATTAAAATGTGGTATTTCCTGTAAGTCATGCTGCTGGCTTGCTGGCTCTGTTATCATCCAGAGTGATAAGAAGAAACATTGGTAAAGTTGGGTTCCAAGATTTATTCTCATTAATGGTGAAATGATTTTTGAAAAGGGAAAATTATGGGAATTTTTTTGTGATCAGAGGTATCCACCAAAAATGTACTATTAGTAATGGCCAAAATTCAGGCATTGGCTTTAAGTTCTAAACACTTAAAAAAGACCAGACCCACCGGGCTCGGTGGCTCAGCCTGTAATCCCACATCTTTGGGAGGCTGAGGTGAGTGGATTGTCTGAGCCTGCGGGTTCGAGACCCACCTGGGCAGCGAGACCTCATCTCTACAATAAATCAAAAAATCAGCTGGGCGTGTAGCGCATGCCTGTAATTCCGGCTACTCGGAAGGCTGAGGTGGAAGGATCACCGGAGCCCAGCGGGTCGAGGCTGCGGTGGCCGGGAGCGGCCACTGCACTCCAGTCTGGGCGACCGAGTGAGACTCCAACTAAAAAAAAAAAAAAAAAGACCAGACCCTCTCAGAGGAATGTTCTGTAATTTACCGTATCTCTAGGCTATAGAGGGATGTTTTCTTTCCTATTTTTCATTAACATGGTTTAACGTCATTTGAAAATTACTGAATGTTTATCCAAAAGAAAAATAAACATTTCCCCAAATATTCTAACTTAAAATTGTCCTCTTTAATTGACAAAGGGGAAAATAGTAGGCCAACAGCATGACTCCTGGAGTGGGGCTGTATTTCTAAATTTCTTAATGCAGGAGCAAGAACAAACTCAAATTATTGTTGTGTTTTGTTTTCATAGGCATTCCACTGTCATTTTTGTTAGTGTTATTAGAATCCCTTGTAAATACAAACCATTACACAGCCTTTCCTTATTGAATACAATGTTCTTTTACAGCCACAAATGGTGGCACATGCCTATAATCCTAGGACTTTGGTAGGCCGAGGAAGGAGAATTGCTTGAGCCCAGGAGTTCAAGACTAGCCTAGACTAGGCAACATAGTGAGACCTCGTCTCTACAAAAAAATAAAAAATTTAGCTAGGCATGATGTCTCATTCCTGTAGTCTCAGCTACCGAGGAAGCTGAGGGGAAACAATCTGTTGAGGCTACAGTGAGCTGTGATCACACCACTGTCCTCCAGTCTGGGCAACAGAGTGAGACTCTGACTCAAAAAAAAAAAAAAAAAAAAAAGATCCTTTCCACTCATTTATTTTCAGTGTTATAATTTTTAAATCGCTTTTTGACATACCAAAACCCACATATATTTAAAATGTACAACTTAATGAATTTATATATTTATAGCTTCCCATAAAACCATTAGCATAATTAAGATAATCAGCATATCCATTACACTCCAAAGTTTCCTCTCCTGCCCCTTGCTAATCTATCCCTGTCCCCAGTCTGTCCTCATAGAACCACTGATCTGTTCTATCGCTATAGTTTGTTTTCATTTTCTGAAATGTTATGGAAATGGAATCATACAATATATACTTTTTTGGTCTGGCTTCTTTCACTCAGTGTAATTATTCTGAGAGTCATCTATGTTGTTGCCTGTATCAACAGTTAATCCCTTTTCACTGTTGAGTAGTATTGTTCTCTATGGATATACCACAGTATGTTTATCTGGTCACCTGTGGATAGATATTTGAGCTCGTTCCCAGTTTTTGGCTATTAACTCAAGCTGCTACAAATATTTGTGGACATGCATCTGGACATGTGCTTTCTTTTCTCTTATGTAAATATCTAGGAGTAGAGTGGCCAGGTTATGTGATAAATTTAGGCTAAACTTTTTTAAGAAACTGCAATCATCCAATTAAAAAGTGAGCAGAAGACCTGAATAGATATTTCCCACATACAAATGGCCAACAAACGTTTGAAAAAAATGCTCAACATCACTAATCATTATGGAACTGCAAATCAAAATCACAGTGAGATATCATCTCATACCAATTAGAATGGCTCTTATAAAAAATACCCCCCCCCAAAAAAACCCCATAAAACAAAAAAACAAATGCTGGTGTGGTTGTGGAGAAAAGAGAATCTTATATGCTGTTGCTGAGAATGTACATCAGTACAACATTATAGAAAACAGTACAGTGTACCCTCAAAAAATTGATACTAGAACTACCATATGATTCAGCAGTTCCACTACTAGATATTTATCCAAAGGAAATGAAATCAGTATGCTGAAGAGCTATCTGAACTTTCATGCTTATGCACAATAACCAAGATACAAAATCAACCTGTGTCTATTCAAGGGATGAATGTTTAAAGAAAATGTGGCATATATACACGATAGAATACTATTTAGCTGTAAAAAAATAAATCTTGTAATTTACAGCAACACAGATGGAACTCAAGGACATTACCTTAAGTAAAACAAGCCAGGATCAGAAAGACAAATATTGCACAATCTCACGTATGTATGGAATCTAAAAAAGCTGATCTCATATAAATACATAGTAGAATAGTGGTTATCAGAGGCTGGGGAGGGGAGGGCAGAGGGAATGACGGGGAGAGATTGGTCAACGTGTATGAAATTATATACAGATAGGAGAAATAATTTCTGGGGTTCTATAGCACAGTAGGGGACAATAGCAACAAAATTACAGTGAGTATTTCTAAATAACTAGATGGGAGGATTCTGAATGGTTTCACCATAAAGACATGACAAATGTGTGCAATGGTGGATTTTCTAAATAAATTTGATCATGGCACAATGTACACATGTACTCCATAAATATGTATAATTATTATGAGTCAGTTAAAAACAAAAATTAGTTTTGAAACCCTGCCAAACTTTTCCAGAGTAGTTGTAACTATTTTATATTCTCAATGGCAGTCTGTGTAAGTTCCAGTTGCTCCACAGACTTGTCAGTATTTTATAATGTCTGGAGACATGTTTGGTAGTTACAATTTGTGGAGAGAAGGGAGTGATACTGGTATCTGGTCAGTAGAGACCAGGAAGGTAGATAAACATCTTACAATCCCCAAGATAGTACTACTCCCTCAACTGCCACACAACAAAATACTGTCAGGCTCAAAATGTCAATAGTGCTGAGGTTGAGAAAACTTGGTGGAGTGGTACCTAATTGTGGCTTTAATTTGCCTTTCCCAATGGCTAATGATGATGAGCATCTTTTCATGTTCTTATTTTAAAAATAACATTTACAATAGCATAAACAAATAAAAAATACTTTGAGATAAATCTGGAGAAAAAATATGCAAGGACCTGCACATTGAAAATTATAAAACATCAGACCAGGTTCAGTGGCTCAGCCTACGATCCCAGCACTTTGGGAGGCTGAAGTGAGTGGACTTCCTGAGCCCACAGGTTCGAGACCAGCCAGGGCAACTTGGTAAGACCGCCTCTCTACAATAAATAAAAAATTAGGCGTAGTAGCATGTGCCTGTAGTTCTGGCTACTTGGAAGGCTGAGGCGGAAGGATCAATGGAGCCCAGCAGGTCGACGCTGGGGTGGCTGTGAGTGTGCCACTGCACTCCAGCCTGGGAGACAGAGTGAGACTCCAACACAAGAAATAAAATAAAATAAATTATAAAACATCACTGAGAGAAACTAAAGAAATAAATGGAAAGGTATGCTGTGTTTGGGGACTGGAAGATATAATATTATTAAGAAGTCAATTCTGAGAAAATGGATTGATGGATTCAGTGTAATCCTAATCAAAATCCTAGCAGGATTTTTTTTTTTTTTAGAAACTGATAGGCTAATTTTAAAATATATTTAGAAATACAGTGGATCTAGAATAGTCAAAACAACTTTGAAAAAGAAAAACAAAGTTGGAGAACATACAGTACCTTGTTTTATGATTTATTACAAAGCTACAGTAATTATGGCATTGATGGTGTTGGCACAAAATACACATCTAGATCAATGGAAAAGAATAAGGAGTCTAGAAATAGGCCAACACAGATGTGATCAAT